GAGTGGCCTCAAAAGTGTTTAGTAGGTTTCCTCTGTGAACAGTTCCAGCTCCACCTGACCAGGCACAGCAGCTCTTCTTTAAGGTAGTCAGTGTGGAACACTGAGCTCTTCAGATAATGAGAAACAGAAACATCTGCTGTTAGAGTATTAGCTCACCACACCTTGGGCCAGTTGTATTCATCTTCTCATGAAATGCCTGCTCTTGTTCTTTGTTCATGCTGACTTGTACTGTCCTAAAGCACTGTACTCTCTTGTACTTTAAAATGACTTTGTGTTGCTGGGCATGGTGCACCCCTGGAATCCCAGCACTCTGCAGTCTAAGGAAGGAACACCGGGGTTCAAGGCCAGCCTGGACTACACAGTAAGACCTTGACTCAAAAATAAAAAAAAGTCTTTGCTCCCCTCTTTCCTTTTTCTTTCATCTGTGGGCTTGAACCCAGGCATCTGGCATATTGAGGACACTACAACTGAACTACCAGGTTTTTTGGTTTTTTTTTAACTTTTTCTTCTGGTTGACTCCAGCCCAATTCTATGTATTAGCACAATTCTATTCCCTCCCTTATTAATATGTATTGTGTTATACTGTAATTTCATATTTGCATATTTATTGGTTCATGGCCAACATAGGTAATAAAACCTGCTGAAATAATTGTTCTTATTTTTAGATAATTAATTATTAATGCGGTCCTAGGTTTGAACCCAGAGACTTCACATGAGTTACACCATCAGCCCTCTTCATTTATTATTTTGAGATAAAGTTTCACTATGTTGTCCAGAATGGGATTTAATTTTTTATCCTCCTGCCTCAGCCTTCTAAAGTGTTTGCTTTTGCTTTCTTTTGTTTTTGGTACCAGGGTTCAAACCTAGGACCTTATGCTTATGAGGCAGGCAGCGGCACCACTGAGCTAAATCCTTGGCCCTAAAGTGTTTGGATTCTAGGCCTTGCCACCATACTCAACCTCATTAGAATTATTTACACCTTGAAGTTCTATGTCATAGACTTTTTTTATTCTAAAAATATTCTAAAATATAGTTTAAAACACATCCAAGGACATTTTAAGCTCCTGGTAAATACATGCAGATAGTGGTTTAATGCACAGGATTTTGAGTCAGACAGAACTGAGCAAAGACCGAGTTTGTTATGCACTAGCCAGATGACTCTGTTGTTTACTGATCTTCCCAAGCCTTAGTTTTCTGACCTATAACTGGGGAACATCATAGTGACTTGATAGTTTCTATAAAGTGCAGTGTTCCCCACGTGGGAAGCAAACAAGAACAGGTGATTATTATTAATATTATGAGGCAAAGAGTAGAGAGGCCAGCACACCCACATTTTCCTGCTTTACTTATCCTCAATGCAAAGCGCCGCAAATTACTTAAATCAAATAATTGATGCTAAGAAGAAACAAATGTGATCAATATTACTCTGCTACTCTTATTAGGCTGGAGAAAACACTGTGCAGTAAGCCTTCTGTGTCTGTAGGTTCTGCATCTGTGGACTCAACAAATCTCAAATGGGAAATATTTGAATAAAAAATACATCCATACCAAACATGTACAAACTTTTTCAGTTTTTTCTTGTTCTCTACAAACTATAACACAACTTCATGTTAGGATGAGTAATGTTGAGATGCTTTACCGTACATTATGTGTGCAGATGTCTGTGGGTTACATGCAAGTGTCTTGTCGCCTTACACGAGGGCACCACAGGTATCTGGAGGTACCTCACCCCCTGAAATGAGGGAAGACTCTCTTCTGTGAGATACCGCACATTTGAGTTTTAGACTTTACGCATTACTTCTTAGGAAGTGGGTATGACATGAATTTAAGGCAGGAATTATGAATGCAAATGACTTACAGGAACAAAGTAGCTACCATCAATAAACAGAGCAGCAAACATATGTAAATATAAGAGGTGGCAGGGATTGTGGCAAATGGGAAAGACGCACACCTCTTTCCCAGGGGGAAAAAAAAGCTGCTACTGGGCTCTGGCTTCTACAACACAGGCAGGCAGGAGCCAGCCTCCTCTTCCAAATTTTCTAGAGAAGGTGGAAATCTAGATGTCTTTTGTTTCTTTCCATGAAGTCTTCTAATTTATAGAAGTTGGCAACTAATTCAAGCATTGTTTTAAAATATGGTGCAGGCCAAAAGCCCATGTTTGCAGTAGAGAGCCAAATCATGTGGGTTGCTAGTTTATGATCTTTGATTAGAGATATCATTAATGTTTTCAAGAAGCATGTACATAATATTTGGTCATTTTCAGGGTTTAAAGATGATAAAGCATTATGCAAATTTGGATCCATGTAAGGCAAACTATTTTTAATGTCCTCTTTAGTCCATTTGCATTAATAGTTCATTTTTGTTTGTTTGTTTTTGGTACTGGGGCTCAAACCCTGGGCCCTTGAGCTTGCGAGGCAGGCAGCAGAACCACTGAGTCAAATCCCTGGCCCTAAATAGTTCATTTTTGAAAGAGCTCACAGAGTATATTTTAACTCCTTTCATCCAACAACTGATTCCCATTGAGGTTCATCTGGATCTGTTTCCAATCTTGGCCTCCTGAGGAAACAGTACAGGGAGTTTCTAAGTTAACTTTTTTTTTCCTCACAGGCCTATGAATGATTTAGCTGAAGAAAAGCCTGTAGCTCAACAGGCAGATGGCAGTAAGAAATTAACTTGAACTTCAGCAAGGCTGAGGTTTCCATGGGAACAGAGCAAGCAGCCATACTGCCTGGCACTTGAATTGAATAGGAAACAGGCTCCCAGTCGGCATAGTTTTAGAAATGGCTGTGTTAGTCCACCCTTCTTCCCATGTGTATTTAATTTTTCCTTCCTAAAGGGCCTTAATTTTAGTTGATAAAAGGAAAACGGATGATGGTTTGTTACATGCTTACATAAATTCAAGTGTTTCTATATATGTATCAGATAGGAGAAAGTGCAAGCATTTCTAATTTCTTAAGCCTGAAAATCATTAATAAGCTTTAGTAGTTTTCATCACAAAAACTATATTTTTTCCTAGGTAAGCAGTAACATGCAGAAAATTGTTTTAGCTTTTGCTTGCTATAAAAATAGGTATTTAAGTATGTTTGATTTTATTCTGTCAATATAGCTGTCTTTTTGGAATAAAATATACTATGAATTTGTGTTTCGTCTGAACTTCCAGGCACTCATTAACAAGTGAGGAATAAGGCATTCTCAAGAGTACTGCTGTCTTCTGAATTATTACTAGAAGATGGCTGGGGTGTAGTTCAGTGGTAGAGCTGCCAGCCTAGTATGTGCAAGGCCCTGGGTTCCATCCCCAGCACCCAAACAAAATTATAGAAGAAAATTAATGTCACTGTGCCTTTCTCTTATCTGAAGCAGATTAATAAGATTAATATTCCTGTCCCCTGCCCAGACTGACCTTTTCCAAGACCCTTGGAGGAACATTCAGGATGTTCACATGGCCATATATTTTTGTAAAACATGTAAAAGACATTTTAACCACTCGCTCTTCTGATTTAGAGTTTCTATCACAATTTCCCTTGAGTTGGGTGATGATGAAATGGCTCTGGCATTTTTGGTATCTGGATAAGAGGAAGTAGGGCACAGGATACATGAATATAAATATATTTATGTGGTCACTATTTTCCATATAGGCCTGTTATTGCCAACCGTCCTGGTGTAGAAGTAGCTTTAGAGATATTCCTACTGTCTGCTGCAGTGCTCACTCATTGCCAAGAGAATGGTGCTGGGCCAGCAGTGGTTGGAGATAGGCCTGTGTCTTGTGGTGCCTGGTACCCTGGGATGTGGGGGTGAGGGACAGACAAGGTTGAAGTGGAGCCAGGAGCTACTCTGCCAGAGTCGTTGCATCATCGTGCACATGAAATCACAAATGGAGGATCTGGTTTTCAACGAGTTCTTGTCAAAATGGAGGTTCTCATTAATTAATTAATTAATAATTTATTTATTTTGACACTACTGTTTGAGACAGAGTGTCACTGTGTAGCACAGGATGGCCTCGAACTTGGGATCCTTCTGCCTCAGCCCCCTGAGCGCTTGGATTATAGACATGTGCCACCATGCCTGAATCACACAGGAAGTTATTACCTATCAGGAATAGTCTTGATGGTGCAGTGTAAGTAAGTATACACACACTGCACATTTTCAGTGTGAATTTTGTGACACAGCCATGTTACCATGAGGTACTACTGATGATGACAAAGGTCACATAAAACTTGATAGACAACAACCACCAGAACACTGATGACAACCTGGGTAAGTGGGAACTGTTGATTCAAAGAGCATAGGTCATGCACAAAATTGGTAGAATTTTCCCAAATGTGATAACATGAAACATTTATATCACATTATCAATGATTGCTATAGTCCCCAATTTGATAGTACCTAGAGTTTTTAAATCCTGAAGGCCTGGCCCTCATGGACGGACGAGTGCCCTATGCTCGAATCCTGAGAGAAGTTGTCCATCCATTCTGCTAAGTACAAGCATATATAACTGTTGTGCATGAGGGACAGGTCCTCGGCAGCTTGAGTCTGCTGGTGCTTTTGGACTTCCCGCTGCACTGTAACAGGCTTCTATCTATAAGTTATCTAGACTAGGGTGTTCTCTTACAATAGCCCAAATACAGGAAGCCAACAATGCACAGTCTGGCTAAAAGGAAATTTCTGAACCATTAGTTAAAAAAAAAAAAGATTTGAATATTGCCATGGGCAAACAATTCTTTTTTTCTTTTATGACCTGTTGTTGCCTTTTATTTAAAAAGTATCACTAGCCCTGCCTTGGGCTCCTATACAAAAACATAACACAACCCAAAATGAGACGTTTTCCTGACCCCAGACACTGGGGGACGGTGCTGCAAAGAGGGGGACAGGATTGAGGCTCAGCAAATGGAATGTATGTTGGGGGAGGGCGACCTGGAGGTCTCCCAATACCTTCTACCCCCACCCCCAAACTTCAGATGGCACTAAGCTGTCCCCTTGCCGGAAGCAGAGGGGTCCTCTAATCTTCTGAGATGCTCCATGAGAGCTGAGCATTGGTGGGCTGGTCACCAGGCTGGGGCAGTGTTGGCAAGGCACCTCATCCGCCTTGTATTTCTGTCCTGGTCTCGGATCTTCTTCTCCATCTCAGCATCAGTCAGGGTCTCTAGCAGCAGGCACCACTGGTCAGCATCGCCTGTATTCCGGATGGCAACCTCTACCGTGGGCAAGGGGTTCTCACTGAAGGCGTAGGTCTTCTGGTGCCAGCTCAGTTGTCCCCGGATGCTGTATGCAATGGTAGTGACAAACTCCCCGCCCAGCCCCAGCTCTGAGCACAGTTTCAAGGTGAACTTCTCCAGCGCGTTCTCTTTCTCCGACGTGTCCCACTCAAACTGGTCCACCAGGGAGATGTTTCCCACGTGGATGTTCAGCTTGATGATAACACGCTGATCAGACTGGTCCTCCAGTATGTTGTTTGTGGGGTAGGACTCAATCTGCTGTCTGATGGCAGAGGCAATGGCTGGTACAAATGTCAGTGGGTTCAAATCCAAGTCATCCCAGAGGATTTCTGAAAACATCTCAGGGGTCATCGGCTTCTCATTCATGTTCCAGGTAAAGGTGTCCCGCACCTTCTGCCCATCGATCTCCATGTCCAGCTGGATGGGCGCCAGCACCTCAGGCTGGGATGCATCCTCATGAATCACAGTGGGGTCATGGTCATCAAAGCACAGAGGGAAGGTTCTCTTCTTGTCCCAGCCCATGCGGTTCCTACTGATGGTGGTGGAACATGGTACAGCATCCAGATGATGGGAACTGTTGGGCAGGGTGGGGACCCACTGACTGTTCCTCTCGGCCTTCTGTTCCCTGAGGTAGGTGGGGGGCTCTGTACTGATGGACACGGCCTTGTACTTCTCATCATTGCTGTCAAGAATCTCTTCCACCTCAGAGGCTTTTGACAGAGTCACGCTGGTGGCAAGGGTGGTATATCCATGATCATGTGATGATGCAACTATTTTTTTCCTCTCTTCCACAGTGGCTAGTCGCCTCCAGAGTGAGGGGTATCTCTTGTACAGAGAACCTCCGAACATACGGGGGTAGTTTCCCACCTCGGAGCCGATCATGTAGAATTTGCCGTCGTCCTCCAGCTGAAACTTGACGGGCTTCTGCCCGAAGGTCTTGCTCAATGCCATCATCATCATTGCTGCGGGGGGTGGGGGGCCGAGGCAGGGCTGTGAGGACTCTGGAAGGCTGGGGAGGGGCTGTGGTTCACCCGACTGAGAAACCAGGCCGGAAGGCAAAGATCGGGCTGGTTAGCGCTCAAGCCACCGCCGGGATCCTCAGCGGCTGCCGCTACGACCCAGCAGCTTTTTTTTTTTTAATTGGTTACAAAACTTAAGCCCATATACAAAATTAGGAACATGTTTACATGCTTCTTTTGAAAGGTTTTAGTCTTTTTCAAACGAGTTAATAAAATAAAAACAATGCAATTTTTAAATGCTGCTTTGAAAACTTAAAAGTGCAGCAATACACTTAGTTTCCTTTATCTATGAAATGGTGCAATTCCAACTAAAATCTGGTAAGATCACAACAAACTGAATCAAACAAATGCACACATGTCTGCATTACTTGACGCTAATGTTCACTTAAATGTTAGTTTGTACTTCAAACCTAAGAGAAAATAGGAATCATCACAGCAGAGGCCCAATTTTAATCTGAATGTGTACAAAATTTCAAACTGTCAGCTAAGTACGGAGAGTCTAGATGAAATTAAACGGAAAGGGGGACAATTCACAATATCAAGAAGATTTGGACTTTAAAGGTTTCACTGAAGTTTGTGACCTTGATTTATTTTGTTATTCTTACTTTTGGTGAATATCACACAGTTGCAAAAATCTAGATGGCAGTGCCTGAACAGGACGCAGTTACCATATAAATCTTTAACTCAAATTTGGATAAAGAAAAAAACACACAATGAACTTCAACTCAATTTTATGCTGGGCCAGCAATTCTTAAAATTGTTAATAATAAAATATTCCTCTCTTATAAAATCATCTCTTGGTCTAAGTACCAAACAATTACCACTCTTAACATTGTGCTTTTATAACACAATTCATTTGTAAGGCTTATATTGTCCAATTTTAAATTCACTTAAACTTGAATAAGCCTTGTATTCTACCTGGGAGTTATGGTTAATAATCTCCCAGTTTTATGGGACATATATTAATATATATATACATATATATATATAACCTCAGACATATATTGATTCAGCCACATATATTTTTCTGAGAATAAATTCAAAGTGATTCAAAATCATTGCAGTTGGCTTCATACATAGGTTATATCTCTAATCCCAGTGATAATATGTACATCTTCATTCAAACAGTAGCTTCTAAATAAGTGGTAATAGTACAGTGATTTTGAAAATGCATAAATAGAACTAGAATTAGTGAAAATCAACCTCTGAGCTTTGCAGAGGCTGTCTGGAAGTAACTATTCCTGAGTTTTTCCATCTTTAAAAAATATATTAAGTAGGTATGGTAGCACATATTCTTGTAATTCCAGCACTTTGGGGCTGAGGCAGGAGGATTGCAAGTTTGATCTCAGCTTGAACAATTTAATGTCTTAGTAAGACCTTGTCTCAAAATAAAAATAAAAAAGGATTGTGGATGTAGCTAGTGTGAAGGCCCTGGGTTCAATCCTTCATCATTTTTCTTACATATTATATATTGTGGTTTTTATTATTTTGTCTTAATTACTTTTCTCCTGGCATGACTATAGAGATGTGGCTAAAAATAACAATTTTTAGTTGGGAAAAAAACATTTCAATTTACTATGCAAGGAACAATACTGAATAATCTCTCTTTTTTCTTTAGAGAAACTGATTATATAAAATGTTATCATATGATGAAGTACCCAAAAAGGATACAGTCTAAAAAAGGTAGGAACAAAGCATTATAGTGATGTGTCAGGCAATTAATTAACAAAAATAAATATGTTATTCTTCTGGATTTTATGGCTATGTTGTTTGACAGCTTCTTAAAACTTGTAATTTATTTGATTTCTTTGTCACTGTAAATGAATATTTGAAGAATAAAGTCTAAGTCAAACTTAATTTTGTATTAGCCTTTTATAAAAGCTTTCAGCCCAGTAAAACCTAGATCTACCATTGATTTCATTCCTTCTATAACAGCAAAGTCAGCTTTTTTGAGGTAGAATTTATAGTGAATAAAATGTATAAATCTTAATTGTATTGTTCACTGAAATTTTATATCTTTATGCAATCTTGTAGTCATCATCAATGACAATGCAAAACGTTTCTATCACCTAGTATTACACAAACTTAAAACCTCTGATATACTCATATTTAAGCAGTTAATATATATCCACAAAAGAAGATTATTTTTCTAATGAAAAGCAATACTCAAAAACCAGAAAACTCTTAGAGATAGAATTATAGTTACTAAAACTAAAAATGCAAGGCTAGGGAATGTAGTTCAGTGGTAGAGTGCTAGCCCAACATGCACAAGTCCCTGGGTTTGATTCCCAATATAGCCCAAAACAAAACAAAACAAAACTCAGTAGGAAAACTAGAAAATGAGGGTAAGGCAGTTATCCAGAAAGTCAGCAAGATAAACAGATAGAAAATATGAATGAGACAAGATATAAAGGAAAATCAAGTGAGACAACCCTAACAAATAAGAGTCTATATTAGTCACCTTCACATTGCTGGGACAAAATATGTGACAAATACAAAGAGGTACATTTTAGCTCACAGTTTCAGAGGGTTCAGTCCATGGCCAGCCAGCTGCATTGCTTTAGACCTGTGGTGAGGCAGAAACATCATGAAAGAGGTGTGTGAGAGAAGAATGCTGCTCATCTCCTGGCAGCCCTGGAAGCAGAGGGAAAAGAAAAGAGTCAGAGAAGAGATAAATCCCTCAAAGACACATCCAGCCACACTGCAGGTGACTTACATTTCCAACCAGGCCCGACCTCCTGACAGTCCCCTCAGCTAATGGACTTATCCATGGATTAATCCATCAATGAATCAATTACTTCTCTAAATTCCACTTCTGCACTTTTTGTATCAGGGATCAAGCCCTTAATATATGAGTCTTTGGGGAAGTACTTCATATTTAAACCATAACAGGGTCTGGGGAGAAAGGAAATAGGATGAAGGAAATTTGAAAGAAGGACAGTGATATGACTCTAGATTTTATGGAGGTGCTCAGATGGTTCAGAAGTGTTATCAGTATAATTTTCACTCACAGTTCCTTATGAAATTTCTGTAAAATTTTGTGAAATAAATGTAATTGAAAAGTTAAAAGATTTAAAATCTTGTATTAAATATGTATATACTAATATGTTATACACACGTACCCATATACAAGCATTGTACATTGGGAGAATATTTTACTTTCATAATAAATTGGTTCAAACTACTCATTCTAGATTTCCTGTGGCCATTGTTATCCATCCGTCTGTCCATCCATCCATCCATCCATCCATCGATGATCCATCCAATCTCCATCTGTCCTTTCAACTCATACTTGGTGCTAAGGCATGGGAGTGCCAATGTCAAAAAGAAGGAGTGATTTCCTGCTATACATCTAAGCATAATATAGTATTATGTAAGCTATGGTATAGATATAGGGAACCAGATATCTTGTTATTTCCCTTTATAATTAAACCATGTGTCTTTTTAATAAATATAAGAGTAGCAGGGCATGGTGATGTACATGTGTAACCCCAGCATCCTGGGAGCCTGAGGCAGGAGGATCGTAAGTTCAAGCCCAGCCTGGGCAATTTAGTAACTTGGTGAGATCCTGTCTCTGAATAAAAAATGAATTGTTAATGTAGCTCAGTATGAAGGTTCTGGGCATAGTCCCTGGGACCACACACACACACACACACACACACACACACACACTTCGGTATACCTCTATATATTTACATATAGATATATAAATACATATTTTGTATCATATGTAATGTGTTATATATATTGGGATTCATTATGCTTTCTGAATTTAATGATTATATATTTCATTAAATCTAAAAACTTCTACACATCATTTATATTGCCTTTTCCATTTTTCTATTCTCTCCTAAAATTCCTAGTAATTGTTTTGTGAGAACTTTATACTCTCTTAGCCTATCTTTAACATTGTTTCTCGTGTCCTCTGCTTTGCTTCATGTAATTTCCAAAGATCTCTTTTTTAATTCACAAATTCACGTGTCTTACCTACACTTTAATCCATCTTATAATATTTAAACTTATGACTACATTTTTTCCTTTTTAATCATTAATTGTATTTATTGGTATAATTTAGGTGTACATAATGATTGAGTTCATCATATGGAATTTGTATCTGCACATGATATATCTTGATTAATGTTTTTCCTATTCCACTCCTCTCTTTTTTACTCCCTTCCCCTTCTTATTTACAAGAGCTTTGTTTCCATTTTATCTTTCTTTTCCCTTCCTTCCTTTCCCTCTCCCTTGTGACTCTTCTCATTTCAACAATTTCTTCCTATTTTTCATTTCTAGTTGTTTTCTTGTGTACTTTCATATTTGTGAGTCCGTTTCATTGCATTTTGCTATTCTGTTTGCTATCCCTGCCCTTAATCATCTGAGAATTTTTTTTGTAAGCTTTGTGTGGTAACTATTCAATGAATTCCTAAAAACTCTAATTTGGTCCTTTTTTTCCAGCATTGTCTTCATCCTGCACAGGTTGTCCTGTTTGTGCATGCATTTTGCTCTGTTTTGCAACTGTAGCTCGTGTCCAGTAGTATTGTCCAAGGGAGAGCGGTAGGTGTGGAGGGCATGGCTTCTGCATTTACATTACTTCTTCCGGGTGCCTTAGAGGTCATGGGACACATTCTAAGTTAATTTCTTAGCTTAGTGGGGAGAGCAGCTTGGACCATTTACATTTTTTCTGCAAAGATGACTGAGTCTTTGTTTACACGTTGTTAGGGTTAGATCTTTGATATCCTCCAAAAGTCTCACGTCTTTGGAAAGTGACTGGATCACGGGGTGCTACACTCACCAGTGGGTTCATCCATTCACGAGTTCATGGCTGAATGTGCTGTTAGGAGGTGGGTCCTGGTTGGAAGGTGCAGGTCACAGGGGGTTACCTGGAAAGGTGTATTGTCCCCCCCTTCTCCCTTCCTTCCTTGCTTCCTGGCTGCCATGGATGAGCAATTGTCCTATGTCCAGGCCTTTTCATGGTGCTGTTTCTGCCTTTCAGCCAGCCCAACAGACTGAAATTATGAGCTAAAATATACCACCTTTGAACCGTGGGTGTTCAGAATTCTGTCCCAGTAATGGGAAAGTGATTAAGATACACATCCTCAAGGGGGGGTTCACCTCATTTCCCGTGCCTGCCTCACGCACTCAGAGCTGAGGTCAAGGTCAAGACAAAGAAGCTTCCTTATTGTCTCTCCGTGGTGGTTTTGATGGAATATTTCTGGTCCATATTCTCTCTCTCCCCTCCCCTCTCCTCCCCTTCCCTCTCTCTGTTCTGTGTTTGTTTGTGGAATACTGCTCAGTTCTACTTGTTCACGTTGCACCAGCCCCAGGCTCCTCATATTCCAGTAATAAAGACCTCGCTGGAGGCTTCTGAGTCTAATGGGCACCTTTCATGAAGTCTGGCCAGGGTAGTCAAAGATCTGTTCATGGACTTACTGCTCTAGCTTTATATTTCCTCTGCCTGTTGTCTCCTGAGGATTTCTGTTCATTTCTTCTGAGCTCAGCTATGCAGGTATAAAATATTATTTATATTTTATGTTGCATTCCTAGGAGTTTTGTAGTAGGAAATTTATTTAATCTGTCATAGTTTAGGACATTAAAATTGTTATTCCTAATTTTTCTTATGAATAAAAATTATTTTTAGTAGCTTAAAAATCAAAACAGTGATGAATTCAGAGTATTTTAGAAAATGCCCCTAAAGATTCTCATCTCTATTTTATTACATTGACCATTATCTTGCTATGGGAACTCAGGAAGTAACTAGTGTTGGTTTGGTGGCTCAGGAAGTTTTCCACGAAGGTGACATTTAACTCAGAACATAGAGAATGAAAAATTTCATAAATATTTATTCACACACAACCATAAATCTGCAAAATACCATCTATATATGATAGATTTAGAGTTGGTATTTGCCCAAATTATTTACCTCATTGTATGTATATTTTCCTCCCATTCATTTGTGGTGCTGGGTTTTGAACTTAGAGCCTTCACAGTGAGCTACATTCCCCACCCAGGTGGGGTTGGAACCTGTGGTCCTCCTGCTTCAGCCTCCCAAAGTGCTGAGATTACAGATGTGCATCACCATGCCTGGCACAGAAAAAATATTCATGTTTTCCAGAGCTCAGGGGAGCAGAGGGTTGGCTGCTAATTTGGGGTTTCTTTTTGGAAAAGTAAAAATTTCTAAAATAAACTGCGCTAATGGTTGTACAACTCTGAATATATTTAAAACCATTGAGCTGCATTTTATTTTTAATTGACATAATCATTGTATGTGTTTATGGGACACGTTTTGATGTTTCAGTATCTGTCTCCCAAGCAGGTCATGCTGCAATTTCAGGCCTGCTTTTTCTTCTTTGCCCCTCCCCCCATTACAGCCGTAAATTGGACCAACCCTAAACTCCAAACAGGAACCCATGGGCCTCCCGCCACCCTTAGACACCTCTTGCCAGTAGCCGTTCTCAGAAGGTGGACCCTTTGCTTCCGGTCAGCCTGGAGCTCCCTGGTGGCCCTCCGTGAATAACCACGCAGCAAGTCCACTCTGCAGTGAGCCTGCAGTCCCCAACCCCCGATAAGGCCTGTCTGTCCCCTGCTATTTTCCTCCCCCATTCTTCCCTCCCCACACTGCAGCAGACTGGCCACCCAGTGTTTCACCCTTTGTTGTACCCCAACATCGCTCCCATTTGTGTCGCCACATCCTGCCGTCTCAGGAAAACCTTCCCCGACCATCAGTTGTGCTCTTAGGCAAAAATACAGGGCAGCTCAAGGAGGGTGGCCTAGGAAAGAGGATTTAAGGAACTGTTTGGGTCTCAGAGAGCAGGCGGGGGTCTGGAAACCAGATGGGCTAGAGCGGCTTCTACCATTCCCAACCCGGGGTCGGATGGGGCAAGAGCAGACGGCCAGCTTCTGAGATCCCCAGGAAAGAAGCTGTAGGCGAGGGCCCCCGACAGCGGCAGCCCGGGCCGAGTGGGGTGTGTGTGGGGGCTAACACCCCTTTTCTCTCCCTCAGGCGCTCTGCCCTCCTGCCTGCTTCCCAGGGACAGAACCAGACTCAGGCACTGGGGACCATCCAGGAGAAAGCGGGGTGCGGGTGGGAGGGCTAACAGAAATCACCAGCATTTTTGCTTCCTAAGCCTTGACCTTTTTATTTTAAGATACGGAGCTTCACTGTGTTGTCTTTTGATGTGCATGTTTATTGTCCTAGCGCCCTTCCTACCCCCATGTGAAGACACTTAGGCTAAGGTTTAGAGTTCAACCCCCCACCATCGGCAGGTACCAGCGCCCTGCAGGGTGGCCGGCTCACAGTAGGGCTCTAATAAATACTGGTTGGATAAATCCACAGACCAAGGCCCGGGCAGCCTGCGGGACTGTTTATTTTTTCTTTCCTTACAGAAGGACCAGGTGCCCGAACACTTCCGGGCGCCGGGAGCGGGGCTGCCCCCCGGGCCCACTAGAGGCGGGAGGGACGGCAGGTGCCC